TTGAAGGGAAGAGTTAATGTACTCTTTTGAGTTCTTTCGAACTCAAGCGAAACGTGATGTAATGTAGTATTGATTCGGGTTCTAGAAATAAGGCAAGTTTAAATGATAAATTCGAAAAACTAGTGATTGTTATTCATAAGTTAAAGGAAATTTTAAATGGAGATATACCTGACAAACCTTTTTGGCGATGAAGATAACGTTGATTGTAATTGGGTGCCATCATCTCAAACGATGTAATAATTAACGTCATTAGGCCGATAAACACCAAATAACCAACCTCGTCTGTTATTTGTGGTATCGTCCGAATGTCGTTCAATACTTTTCGTAATACGTTTTTCTTTTAAGAATAAATTAAACAAATAAGAAGCTCCTTTGCTTTTAATACGTAGGAGTGCAACGTCATCTTCCATTTCAATTAGATACGATAGTTACTTCAGACGCATCAGTTACAAGAAGGCTAAGATGTCATCGTATTAGAAAATATGTACTGGAAGAAAATGACTGCTTAAAAAATATTGTAATTTTTGGTATTTTTAGGGCATGTCGACGAGACGAACTTGTGTCATTGACTATTAATGATATAGAAACCACGAACAACGAAGTGCTAATTACACTGAATTGCACGAAAAAATGAAGATGTGTTTGTAATACCCAAAGCCGGTCTTCCATTCAATACATACATATCATGTATTTTTTAAAAATGCTAACATATGCCCATCTATCCTAGAAACAATACGCTTTTTCTAAGATCATAGAAATGGGAAATGTACTAAACAAGTTGTGGGTATACATAAAATAGGAGGCATTCCAAAAATATAGCGCAATTTTTAAAATTATACTCCATTGAGCTCTAAATAGGGCATTGGTTTCAACGTTCATCGCCACAGTGCTAAACGGTGGCGGTCTGTTCTCTTGGAGATTAGAATCCTCCTCATACTAGAAAAATATATTGAACAATCGGTATCGAAATGAACTAAAATGTCTAAACAGTTATTCAGCACCGACGAAGTTGCATCCACATCAAGAGATTCAAGCACCTCAATGTCAGCACTTTTGACCTCTTACGAAGACTAGACATTAGTAATAATAATTATTCATTCAATATTCATATTTACTATGTGAAATTATAAGTTAAAAATAAGAATACTATAATTGAACAGTTGAAAATTACTTTTGTAGGTGTTATTTATGTCGCGTGTGTGTGTTTCTTATGTTGTTTGTCATCTGTTTTCGACGTTTAATAAATTCTTTGAAGATAACTTATAATTAATAATCTAATCTTAACTAATCTTAACGGCCGGCGACCATTAAGATTACCTTTTCATTGCACCGCGGGTTGCGTTATGCAGATATATAAACAGACAATTATTACGAAGAAAAAACAAACAGATCGATAGTTGGGGTTGCCAAGGGGGGGAAATGCTGTTTATATCGGCGCGTAGGGTGAGAGATATTTTTATTGGTAATTAACGCTATGCCCCGTCATGGCTCTCAACACAGATTATTTTCTTTACATCTTGCTTCTTGTGGTTTTATATGTATAAACAAAATGTAAAATATTAGTGTAGTAGATATTTTGTCTGACGTACCTTTACTACTGAGTTCCAAAACATATTTGGTACTCAGGTACCGTACGTATCTTCAGTAATTGTTTGGACATTTATGATTATTAAGTACTACATAAACTTTTCATTAAAATATTTCCTTAACAAATATTGTTTATTATTACTTTGTGAGTGGAAAATAAAAATTAGATTTTTCCCCGGTCCTGAGCAAAAATCAAGAATTAAAACTTTAAAAAATGAATTGTATTACAAGGGCCCTCACACCAATACCGCGCCAGGAAACTCACGTTTGGCCGGCCCTCGTGACAAAGTTTAAAGTTTCGAACCCATCACCTTCAATATTGACGGTGTATCAACATCTTTCTTAATGTTCTCTCTTCCTCAATATTAGTTTTTTAAATAAATATACGTTTTCAAAATAGTAGTTTTTGTTTTATTTTGAGTTATATCATTGGAATGTTTTAAGTGATGGTATTGAAGTGTTAGTAGGATAGAAATCGCAATGTTATATTATAACATTACCATTATCAATACCAGGAGAACGTATGTACGGAACCATTAGTTTCTTTGCAAGTTTCGCAAGGATATAGAGAACATTTAAATCTACGAATGGCACCAGCACCATCCATTTTGTTTTCTGAGATTTTCAAGAGGTAGCTGAAATATTAGTAGAATGCAAGTTGCAATCCCCTCCACATATACGATCCTAAGAAAAGATGACGGATTATTCCCTTTTACAAGATATCACGGAAACAAAACCCTAAAACGGAAACAAAGTGTATTGCCGCAAATAGGGAATAACCCCCTCCCCCGGAGTGCCTAAAAAAATTAAGACGAAGAAAGTAGAAGTTCGCAGATTATGGCATTTTTGAATTTTCAAGCGCATATGCAAACCACAAAACACCTGCCACCGCAACACACTTTTATCACTGTGCATAAATTGGATATTATGCGTCTTAGAGCCTTAAAACAAGTTTTTGTGTCCCTGAGAGTGACACAATTTATCCATAGGGCAATTTACAAGACCTGTTAGGGCAATTTACAAGACCTACTTGTACATTTGTTGATAGTTCCGTCACTCTGCATCACGGACTAAGAGATAGTCGAAAGTTGGGTTCCAGAATGAAACTGTTTTCACTTTTAAAATAAAGATTTTAAAAGTTTGCTTTGGGGATGGGGAATTGCAATTTTTTACGAGAAATCTGTGGAGCATTTTTATGTTTTTAGAGGGGACAACCCGCAAGGGAGCATAGTTCTACGCGCTGTCGTAACGTTTAAAAATATTTAGAAATAAAAAACACTTAAATTAATTTCTTGAATTTTTATTTTAATTTCCAGATTAATAAATGAGGTAACATGCGGCGATAATGAAGTTTTGCGGAAACATTTTATGGCAAATTTCGGAGAACATTTGGGAGAGCGCGTGAGGAAAAATGTAGGGGGTCATAAGGGAATGTGAAGAACTACATGCGAGGTACATACCGAAAACATGTGATGAACACGCGAGGGAACATGTGGTGAACATGCGAGGGGAATATATCGGAGAGCATGTTACGAAACATGCGGGGTTGGGTGGAGCGAATAACTGAGTGAAGATGTGGTTCTTCTGGGGACCCCTTCTCCAAAGCAGGATTCTCAGAAACAAGCATAAACTAAAAACCTATGGAAAATGAAATTGACGCGTTCATAGGCCCGTCATGACGCCTACAATGCTTCGAGTACAGTTCAGGCGGATTGCCTGCACGACAAAGTGCGGAATGTTCGCTCGAGTCCAACTAATACTATTATGTTACGTAACCGTGACAAATAATGCGAGAAAACGTGATGTTGTAGCATCACTAGTTTTCTTTATCCATTCTTTGAAGATCCAGCCCCTTAAGTGCGTTAGAGTATTACAGGATCGGTTGGGTGCTGAGTAAACATTCTAATACTGCTGAGCGTTTATTAATCAGAAAGGCCCTAGAGAGATTAAAATACACAAAATATCAAATAGTCAATTAATTTTACGGCGTTTAATAAGTGCTAAATTTCCAAAAAGGTAAATTCACTGCGTTTTATTTATAAAATTTTACCAATGTTTACTAGCTTTGATTTTGAAACGTTGTTTCTTGTATTTATTAATGAAAGATCAATTTCGCGTGTAATAATATTTTTCCCTTTGTTTTTATTATAATTGTTTGGAAACTTCTATTGCAAAAGTGTGTTAGAAGATTCAAAAAGGTCTCACTCATTTTCAAAAATTCGACATAAGCATGTAGCACGGGCTTCACATCCCCTTCCGCAAATTTTCCCCGCATGTAACCCGCACGTTCATCGCGTGTTCCCCTGCCTGCATCCCGTGTCTTTCCTGCACGTTTGCCGCATGTTCACATGTTCCATTGCATGTTCAGAAAGAAGCACACAGTAGAAATTACGTCCGCCCTGATCAACACTAGCGCCTGAACCGAAAATAGAATTTTCCCCGCAGCGGTTATTCTTCGAGTGATCTAGCTGAAGTTTGATATGCAGTGAATTTGAGACCGAAATTTAAATTATTTTGCGTTCTTAATTTGAAGCTGCAAGGACATTTTAAAACTTTTCTCAAAACTGTCTTCAAATGTTTTCTTTATTTTTTGCTTGAGGGCAAAGTGCGACAATAAAAATATTAAAATTTCGATTTAGTGTTAAATTTCTGGATTTGGGAAAATTGCAAAAGTGCAACTTTTTCGACTTTATGCTACAAGCACATTGTTTGAGCTGGATACTTGTTACATAAATATACTAATCTGCATTAGTATTTTAAATAACGGGAGTATAACACATTTATCATAATGGCAGTTTTCGCGTAATTTTGAATGAAGCTATTTTTCAATAAAATAAATTTTCACAAAAAGAGTAAACAAGGCTTTCTTAAAAATGCAGCTCCAATTTTTTCTTTAAACGTCTTGTAAGAATATAGCACAATAAACGAAATTCTCTGTCAATATGCAATTTTCATTCAAACTTACGGATTTCCAATTTTTTTTAAATACATTAAAGTTTCGAGGTCTCTAAAATGTGGAATCATCGCAGTACAGCAATGAATTAGAGCGGTCCCGAAAATATGCGCTGGAGGTCGAAAGTGTTTTCTAAGTATTTCTGGAGAAAAATCTCATTTTTTTCGAAAACAACTAAAAATACGAAAATTTGTGAATTGGCGGATTTGGGGTGCATATTACAAGAATCTTATTTCGAGTGGCCCTTCAATCGCGGTCGACATTAGAGCTCGACCTCGCCGCGACCACCAGAACCGCAGCCAGCCCACAGAATTGCAATGCATCCTATGTTTACAATTGGCGCGTGGATAAAAATGCATAATTGATAAGTATTTTTCAAAGTAGGGAGCACCCAAAATCTTACTTCAGTGTCTGATCTTTACAAATTACTCATAAAACGTTTATTTTATAAAATACATACCTCAAGAGGTTTATGCAGAAAAGCTGTCAAGTCTGGTCGTTTTCTTGGCACTGGGGGCTCTACAAGATGTCTCATGAACTCAGTATTTCTTGTTTTGGCCACTAATAAACAATCAGCTTTCTTCAAGCCTGAGAAGTACCTTCGATATGCGTTTGTCAAAACACTTATCTACAAAGAAGTAGATGGAATTATTACAAGTTGCTGGTGAATATTTTGTTGATATTTTTCAGTTAATATAGTATATTCATACCTTTTTTAGGTATGTTCTTCCAAGACAATGACCGATTTGTTCCCCTTCTTCTCCCACAGTCTGTTCTAATATGTCCTCTGATAACCTGAGCAGCTGCAAACCAATAAAGAAAAAATTGAGTTGTATTTCATTATCCCTTATTTCAATGTTTTAAATAAAAATATAAAACAAATAAAAATTAAAATAATAACTGCTACGTAAAATACAAAGTTAAAATTATTTCCCACATTATGAAATGTTAGCTACTCATTGGAAGTTCCTAAGGAGTTGCAGGATTGGGGACGACATGTCACAATCAAAAAGGTGCTACCAACGCAATATAAATTCTATTCTATGTGATGATTGAATATTATCATCGTAAAACAACTTAATAGAAATGTTAAATGAACACAACAAAATATACTTATCATAGAATTTACTATAGAAATTGAATCGTTTATTTTAGAAACCCGTCAAACGTAAAAATCTAGAACACGTATTAGCAACGGATTATTGTTCGAAGAAGATAGACACATTGTTTAGTGCATATTTATATGAAAACAATTCATTTATCAACTGCTTTAATAAATAAAAAAATATTGAAATTAGATAAGTTGGGAGACTTTTTCTCTCGAAATGAGGAATTTGGCGTTTGACGGGTTTCTGAAATAAACGATTCAATTGTATGTTGATAACCTTGAGAAGTGTTATATAGATAACGGAGAATCCGGTGAGGAGTCAGGAGATATAGAAAGCAAAAGGTGTCATCAAGCTATCTTCCCTAAGTAAAACCTAGGTTAACTCTTGAATAAACATATGGTACCCTCAGAAACGCCTGTACACACCATACATTTCAGAATACTACACAGCGACATTCTGAGAGCGCCGTCTAGCCATTGCACAGCCACACACCTCCTCAGCGTTTTGGAAGAGCGTTTGATGATCGTTGGTGGAGATGAGATCTTTGCGGTCGGCCATCGGCAGAAGGAAGCGGCCCACGCCGAAGTGCATGGCCTGCGAGAAGTGCTGCTCCTTGTGCAGTAGCTGGTAGACGGCGCGCCGGCGCGCGTCCTCGCGGTTCATCGGCTCCGTCTGCAACAGAGCCCACGCCCCGTGCAACACGACTCCGGATGACAAAAAAAGGATCCATGTTTTTGCTCAAAAATATCGATTTTATATCATCGATGTTTTGCTTTCGATGTTTTCTTCAGATCGATATATTTGTCCAGAAACGTCCATGTTAAAAAAAAATCATGATATAAATTAAATTTCCAGTATCTATTGTATTTGTGGATTGTTCGCAATCAACAGCCACTGACATCTGTGTCTGTTATCGATCACCAGGCAGCACGAAATCGTTTGCTATTTGCAACCTTTCTCCGATGTGGTTACTTTTTTGATTATTTTGTACGTGGTAATATCGTCACACTACAATTTGAACTTAGACTACATAGAACATTGATTAGAAAATGAAGATGGCAATAAAATTTAAGGCAGAATATACTTTAAACTAATATTGACGTATTATGTATAACATTACAACCAATACATTTTACTTCGAAATGTTTCAACATATTTAAAACATCGATATCTTTCGGTGATGTATCGATGTATCGATGTTAGGCTAAAATTTGTCATCACTAAACACGACCTGATGTGCCGCATCTAAAGGCGGCTCCACACGGCTTCGGTATTGGGCGAGTAGCAAGCGGCCGCTCGCCGAATTCCCGAGAGGTGTGGATTATATATATATATATATAATATATTATATATATATATATATAATATATATATATACTATATATATATATATATATATATATATATATATATGAGCTATTGATGAGTTACAAAAGACAAACTTGCAAGTTACTTCCAATATTTTGTTGTTGGCATGAAGGAGATATCCTGGTGATAATATTAATTGAAAGGATTTATTTATTAATATTGGCGGAACGTCTGAAGGTTATGCAACACATTATACAAAGAAGCTAAATACCTATAGCTTCATTATGACTAATATTTTCTTTCGCAATGGAGATAGAAAGTACTTAAGAGTCCAACATATAAGAATTAAAATATCTTTCAAAATATAGTTCAATCTATGCTAGTTAAAACACAGCCACAGCAGTGAGTAGTGAAATCAAAAGATTTCCTCTCGACGAAGGAGTATATGGTTCCTTACAAACCAGTGGTGGATTCGTGGGTGACTTTGAAGGATTGTATACGTACGCGTACGCATATGTTTGAAATTTATATATAATTAAAGAAACATATTAGTCAGTGAATAATGATTCATAGCGCGTCAAGTACTAAGGTTGTCGGTCCCTGTGTGTAATGGTTATACCCTGGGAAATTGGGGTTTCTCTCTTCTCCAGGAATCACCTGCGGACACGTCTTAGTGGGAACAAGTTCTAAGCTCCGGACTGTTCTCCTGACATGTGCGGTATGTAGTGAATGGAAATGTGTGTGTGTGTGTGTGTGTGTAAGGGAAGAGAAGAGGACGAATATAAGGAAGGGAAGTTCGAGTTTGGTCCGTAGCACGTTCGTTGGGTTACTGCTTCGACATTCGCTCGGTTTTGATCAAACCAAGGAAAACTATCATAGCAGCCTGCTGCTAGAATTCTCCTCCAGACATTGGAGGAGATCCGATATCTAGCTACTGTCAAAAATTCTCCACCTTCAGGAATCGAACACTAGGACGTTTCGCTCAACAACGCTGCAGGTACGAACCAGTAGGAACGGTTGGAGTTGAATGATTGATGTTCCTTACACAGTGCGCAAGGAAAGTCCCTCCGCGCTGAGCGGGATCAGGGCCAACTAAAAACTGCATGTGCGTTGCTAGCAAGCAGATAACTGGGAAACAAGTGAAGGGGACAACACTTCTACCATCTATTGTGATTGTGGTCAGTACAAAATTTACGTTTTCAAGCCGCAGCTCGCGCTACCAACATAATTTCTGTTGCAAACACTCTCACCAGCAAGATGCTACTGCGGATAGACTTTCCTGGCGTGCTTACCTTTCCATTAAACCCGATACAGAAGCTATGTTATTCAAAATTCGTACATTATGTCCTAGAATGAATCGAGAGCGTCTAAGATTATTTTTAAACTTTTTTCCCTGACCCGCATTATATTGCGAAAAAATGTTGCTTTGACGTTTGTGCTAACGTTTGTGCTTACGTAAAAAGTTTAAAAAATTCTGACAATAGGAGAGTGGGAGAAAAGAGGCATTTAGTGTACTGAAGCAAAGAAGGAATAATTTGCACACTTGCTCAATGTATTATGGAAACCGATAAATATCCCAATTGACAGGGGAGTTATAGATCGAGAATAACTTAAGAATAGTTGTTATAACAAGTTGTTCAGACATGCATAATAAAGTACGCTTTAAAAATTGAAAAATGCATCCACAGTCTGATAATAAAGAACATATTCATTTAGCGTTTTATACTGGGTAATCTCTAATAAAAACAGCAGCAGAAAATACTTTTCTTTAGTTTTGACTAACTTCCACAAATGTTTTGATATTGAGTAATTAGTGTTACCTGGTAAATTGTTGAGATTTGACCTAGAAATCCAAATACTTTTGGGTTCTTGACATTGACATTTATATCATGTGGTTTTTCCCTTATCGGAATTGCATTAAAAAAAGCTCTCAACACATAAGCAAAACAATTTCATAAATGGATATGCAATGCATTGATAGTATTCCTAGATTAATTAAAAGAGAGTTTAAATAATGACATTAAAGGCAGTTACTAATTCTTCATATTTCTGCATTTTTCCGTAATCAATGGGTTTGAGCACTACAAAGCTTTACATCTGAATATTATGCCCGAAGGTACGTACATTCAAAAAATATACGCCCCTGACTCCAAAATGGCTTAGGGGCCTCTTCTAACGCAAGATTGACTCCCCCCCCCCAGTAATAATATGCAACGCTTGCGGCAACCTCCCACCCCCTATGTAAATGCAAAAAGGGAAAATAAATTATAGTTCAGCAAAGAAAAGTAATAATTAAATTCATTCAGTGACTTCTAATACCTTAAAATAATGTTTTAAACCGAATTAATTAGATAACATTTTCAAGTTTTAGTGTGACAAGAAAGGAAGTATTTCAACAAATGTTAAAATATATTTTAAAAATTCAATGTTACATTACACTAATGGAATACCCTCTACCCCTATGTAACGCTGCCTCAAACCCCCTCCCTCTCTTTAGCGTTACGTAACTTATGGACGGCCCTTAAGCCGATTTGAAAGAAATCTGAATGCATTATCCAAGAAACTTAATATTGTGTTCCATTCAGTTAACTGTTAAAGTATCAAATAGTTATTGACAATTACGCGGTAGTAACATGCATTATTGATCATTTACATCTTCTCATATACAGTAATGCCAAATATTTTTTTAAAATTTGTCTTTGAACACGTCTTTTACATTTTCATAGGCATTGAGCGCAACTGGAGTAATCCTCCGTTTACTTTTTTTGTATTTTTGTCCCGTCACGTCGCAGTCAGTCAGTGCCTCTTATCCCTTCGGCCAGGGGCTCGGGAGCAGGGTGGATTTGAGCAGGCCAGGGCAGAGCAGGGCATGACAGAACAGAGGCCACAGCAGGCCACGCCACGCCGGGCCGGGCCAGACCAGGGAGATGATACACTATTGGCGAATGCATTCCTTTTCATGTCTGAATAAATGAGTAAGGAAAATTAATATTCAGAAAAGTAAAAGTATTCGACTTAACTTCCCCTGCGATGTAATGGCATGAGTTTCCCCTAGTAGAGATAATTTCCATTATGCCATTAAGGCATATCGGAAATAATTTCTTGCATTGTTATTTTAATGTTCTTTAAAACTTTAAACACTATCGTATCCGGATCTATTTTTAAATTTTCATTGTATTCTTCAAATTCAAAATACAAAACAAAATACTTCATTTCCTATCGTGTTCAGGTGACCTATTAGCAAACGTCGGGAGACAGTTCAGGAGTGAAAATGAGAAAACAGTCTTAAAATTATTCACCAGAAAATTCCCTTTTACTTTTTCTCCTTACTTAATAAGAAGTGTGTTGTGGGAATATGTATTTTTTTAAAATTATATGATTAGTTATTGAGTAAGTCTCTAAGAGGAGGAAATATTTCTGTATGTCTCGTATTCCTAAGTTTCTTTGGGGATGCCACTTAAAAATGGCCAGTTCTCGAGGGTAGATTCGAAAGTTTCTTCACGTTTTGAGGCTCGGATTCGCCTGATACACTATAGGTAAATATTTTGGGAAAATTAGACATTTTCACGCATTAGTAACTTCAGACACACGTCAGGTCTATTGGTGCTGTTTCAAAAATCGTTAAGGTTCTTTCAGGTGACAAGGAGGCACACGCAATTTTGTACCCGAAAATAGGGATGGATGAATGTATACGTTATGCTTAACTCTCAGATTATAAGATTTTGAGATAAAACTCGGTAAACAAGACAGGAGTAAGATCTAGTTGTGCTGTTCCAGGAATTAATAAGATATTTTGTGGGGATACATTGCATAATAATTTCAAAATTTTCGGAAAAATGGCTGAAAAAAATTGTTTGAATAAAGGAAAGTATATGAAAAATATGTTATAGATTTTCATAAAAAGGTCAGAAATTGTGAGAATTGCGAAAGTTCAAATTTTAGTTGAACTTCGACTAACGATCTGATATACCGCCTTTTATATCTGACACTCGGGGCATTTGTTATTACTTCGGAGAAAAGGTTCCCAGAGTCATTTGGAAATTCTGTAAATGATTCAACATTAAATCAACAGTATTTATTAAGATCATAGAAGTAAAGCTATTATTTCATTCTCCTTGTATGTTTTATTAAATTACTAGTAAAATATGTCATTAAAAAAATTCAATGGGTAAGGGGGTACAGAAATGTTATTTTCTCAATCTTGTTTTAGGTTTTGTACACCTGTCCTATGCCTTCAATATTGAAATTTCTTTCTCCATGCAATTTACCTCACAATTATAGATATTCAAATGATATCAAGTATTTAAAAAACAACCAAAAAACAAGTACTGTAATTCTTGCATAAAAAATACGGAGGAACGAACAGGACAAATTATACACTACGATGAGGAAAAGTTACAGAATGTAGTACATTCCCACTAGTTAAATTTGACAATATGATACCAATTTTAAAAGAATTTTTAATTCATGAAATGTCACGTCAAAAAGCACTCAATTTAATAAGTTCATTATTTTTTGGGAAATTGCATTTGACTCAATTACTCTTATCACAAATTACAAATGCAAGTATCCCCATTTCTTAACAAAAATTTAAATAAAATATAATATAAACACACTCCAAATGTGCATTTACTGATATGTGTATGATTTTTTTTTTCAAACAATTTTAAACATCATCACTCACATTAATTTTAATTATTGAAAAATAGAGTCAATGAATTCATGATTACAGTGAAACAAGTGTTGACTATGACACCTAAGTAAAAAGCTGAATTTTTAAAAATATTTTGTATTCTTAGACAATAAAGCAGGACTATTTACTCAAACATATAGATAGGAAAAAAATATTTAGATGTGCCCCTCTGATTATCTTCACAATGAACTTTAAAATATCTCAAAATATTTTGAAATACAATATTTTATTACACGAGGCTGCAGAACTCCTTTCAAAATTGTAAGGGGGACCACAGCCATCCTGTCCTTCATGTGCAGATGCCTAAGGATATAATTGAAAGCATATTGAAGCTCAAGAATGTTGACACATTTAGTTACAACGTTAATGTTTTTTTTTGTTGTGATGGTACATGATGCCCAACAAATGACTTTTCAGCTCAAAGTGAGAGTACTCTTCAGTTAACATATTCAAGTATATTTATTTATTTATATATTTATTTAGGAGGCTGAAAAAAAATTCTGTGTGTTAATTTCTAAAGGTCTCATGAATATACAAATTAAGATTGATATTAATCATAAGCCTTAGTGACAGTGAATTAATGTGCCTCAGCAATAATTTTTAACTTATTTTATTAAAAATCCACTCTTAAGACAATTCTTTGTTCAATGGGCATTTTGTAGAATCATAAGAAAGTGTACTTAAATATTGTGGATTTCTTTAATACTGTCAAATTTTTGTTCATTAATATTGTCTTTTTGAACAATTTGGACATCTAATATGATTAATAAGGTGTGCTTTAAACTAGACGATTTAGACTTTACCTTTCGTAAAATAGCACTATTTTTCTACAGTTTCTAATTGGTTTCAGAAAAAATCATAAAATAAATTAAAAGTAATTTGATCAACAATACAGAAACTTATCTCGCCAGGGATAAGATGAAAAATATCCATACTAAAAAATTGATAATTGCAGGAGGGGTTAGGAGAAAAATAAAAAAAAATAAAAAAGGAACAACTTTTCCAAATGGATGTATTTCTTGCACAAAATATATTAAGAAATGATCAACTACAAATATTGGCAAACTTTGCTGATATAATTCAAAACTACAACTAGAAAGGCAGAAAGAACTGATAGCTTGTTTGTCTGCAATCACAACATAATTCTTTATAAACATGTAAAAAAATTTATGATGTTATCTGCATTTCTAGCATTTTAAAAATATATCAACAGGAAAGTCTGCCAAATAATAACACAGAATCAGGAGTAAAGGTGTAACATGGGTTAAAATAACAATCATTATAACCACAAAAACAAACAATAAAACAAAGAAAAAAAATATTACAAACTTAGGTTCTAAAACACAAAGCCTGTGGTACGTATACAAAAGTAATTAGAGAAATTCGTTACCTAATGAAGTTCCCCTTGAAGCTTCAGTGATATTTTAAATCACCTTGAAAACAAATCATTAGCCTTTGCTCTCATTAATAGAAAAATGAATAGGTACTATCAAATAAGATGCACAGAAAATAATAACAGAGCCCATTTCCTTCTTTCTTTTGACTCTCCTTAATTGGAGAAAGTAAATTCTGTCAACATTCACCAGTTCTCACCAGGGTCTGTAAGCATCATGGTCAATCTGCATCATATTCAACATACTTTCCCACATACTATCTTAAAATTACACTGATTATATCAAAATAGATTGACATTATTTTAAGTTCATTAATAATGCTTTATCTTCAGTCCAGAGAATGCAAGAACATCACTTCAAAGCATTCAAATCGTAATATACAATTGATTATCACATCTTGAGAAGTTGCTAAGCAATCAAATGAACTGACAAAAAGTTTGGAAAAAGGTTTCCAGTAACAATTATATCTCGCACAATAAAAGAATACAGAAATAAAAAAAATTCTGGAAAATACCTACAACAAAATGAGCAAACAATATACAGACCATTATGCCTTAAGAAAGAGGTCTGAAGGATAAAAATGTTCATCACATCTTACTCTTACTATTGGGGGGAAAAAATCAGCAGCCGTATTATGTCAAAAGGAGTAAAAATAAACGATTGGATTAAAAATTGAAGATAATAACACAATCTGATTGACTGAATACTAATTCTAATCAATTATACACACAATATCGTTTATATATAGAACCCTAAAGGCACTAACCAAAAATCTTTGGTTCATAAGCTCTTCGACATACCCATAAGTCACTTTAAAGGAGGACTGAACCGAGTGAACCCTAAACTTGTTGACCCAAGCAAGCAACAAGTGAGAAACATATCTCTTTACAAACATAATGAAGAAACAATATATACTGAAAACCACTTATTCCCATCTTATTGTTGATTGAATTTTCTGAGTACATATGACATGAATCTACATTTGGTCTTGTTACGAACAACCAACTTTTTTTTTTTGCTTCATTGATTTTCATAATAAAAACTTTTCTTACAAGATTCAAAACTTCTATAATACACAACTTAAAAAAACAAAAAGAAGATTTGGAAATTCAACTCCTAATGAGTAGAATACTGAATTGAATATTCTGTCAAAATAACAGAACCCAACATTTTGAAAGCCTTCAATTATGAATAAGTCAGTGATCAACAGAAATGTGAGCTCAGCAGATTTGCAGACACACAAGAGATATTATCTGTTTGCATTGCAAGTATCATAACACTTGCAAGTTAGCAATTTGGACTATCTTTATTGAACATTAAAAATTAAGAGGTAAATCCAGAAGAAAGCATTCTGGAGATCCCAAAACATTCTATCAAGAGAAAGGTATTAAATTTCAGTGCATTCATACAAAAAGTACCTGCTGTAATGAAACATGAAATTTAATTTATTTTTCAAATAATTACTGAAAATTGCTTTTGAAAAATGTTGTCTGAAAAAGGAGAGAAAAAACACACATGTTGTACATGTTGAAGTAACAGAAGCAACAACATTTTATTAAATTTTTTACTGCCCTAGGCAGACAAGAAATCCTGAAGGAGAGGAGTTCTAGAGAATTAGCGGTCCGAATTTGCCTCGGTCACTTGGTGACGTGACAAAATGCTAAGTTATATTTTTCCGTTTCTTTGATCAAGAATGTGCACCGCCGTTGTACATTAGCTACGCCACCGGTAGACCACAGGCGCTTCCCTTCGGCCTAACCGCTCCCCCTCCGCGCCTCCGCCCCACACCCTCCGCTCGGCCGAGCTCGCAACGAGTCGCGTCGCGTCGTGTCGTGTCACACGATGACCCCGCTACCGACCTCGGAGCTGAAGGTGACCTGCGGGAGGTGGAGGCGGCGCTTGCTCAGGTCCAGCGACGTGGTGGTGGCGGAACACGTGGTGGAGGAGCGAGGCGGCGGCGCGGGCGACGGCGCGGCGGCCGCGGCCTGCGGCTCACTCGGCGCAGACGGGAGTATCTGAGCGGCGCTGTTAGAGCCCCTGGAAGCCTGAGGGCGGACGGGACGGACGCGCCGCGCGAGGCGCGGCTGCGCGAGGGCGCCCGCGCGGCGGCCAGCGCGCCCGCCATCCCAGGTGCGAATGGGGCCACGGCGGACCCGCGCTGCCCCCGGCCGCCCCCTCCCCCGGCCGCAGCCGACGGCCCGCCGTCCCGCGCGCGGTGCACGCCCCCGCCCCCGCCGCCGCCACCGCTCACCAGGCCGTTGGGAGGCCCTCGCCGGTACACCTCGAGCGTCAGCGTGTTGCCGCATGACCTGTGAACAGACGCACACGTCAGCCAATGGACGTTATACGTGGGAAGGGACCCGAAAACTGTCACTTTCGCTAGCTAAGCATGCTGACGAAAAAAAGCTGGCGAAAAGTCTTCGAAAAATAATGTTTGAAAAGGAGGAGAAGAATAATCTACTAGGTGCCTACAGGACAAGAATAATTTTAATAACTTATTAGCATAAATAAGCCTCCTTAATCAAATTTTCTGTGTGCCACAATTTGAGTGAAAAATGTTTGAAACGGGAAACAAATTTACATTGTATATGAAACGTAATTACCAATATAAAGTACATTTTCATTGTGAATCTTGGAATTAAGTTATGGATATGACATAAAAAAGAAGGAAGAACCACCAAGAACTACTAGAAGAACTACCAAACAAGAAGGTATATAATAGAAATGGAAAAAAAGGGGATGCATACAATGCAGTTTTGCACTTTCCTTCCCCATTCCCATTTCAGAGATAAGACAAAAAAAATCAACTTAAAGTTGTGGATTAACATGTCCGTATGATGTCGCAATACTTTTTCCGTATTTCATGTAAGTTTTTGCGTTGTCCACAGCTCATTTTGCAGTATTCAACCTCGAGTTGGCGATCCCAGTCTTCTGAGTTTTCTTTCAAACTCCTTCTAAATTCACTTACATTTTTCCACATTTCTTTTTCGACTTTCGAACAAGGGCTTTTGAGATTCCAGAAACATTTCCTTTTGGCAGAGAATGAATAGTTGACAGCGTTGCCACGGGCATTCACTGCCAAGCGATAGGGCAAGGCGAGGCGAGGCGCGGCGCGGCGCGGCGCGGCGCGGCGAGGCGAGGCGAGGCGAGGCGAGGCGAGGCGAGGCGAGGCGAGGCGAGGCGACGTGCAACGGAAGCCGCTTCGTGAAAGAAAGCGCACGATGGGTTGATTGACGAGGTCCACGACCTCCGTGGGGGGAGCGATTGCCGTTGGAAAGGGCCGGCCCTCACGCCCAGGTCGCGACCGGTCCGCGAGTCCGCGACGTTCCCACGGACTGCCGCTTGCGTCGATGCGCTTCGCCCCGAAAGACCTCGCGACGGAAACAAGATCACTAAATGAAACGAACGCTCGCGCCAACTCATCAGTGAGTGCACTTAGACGGCAAAATGAATTCATCATTTTGGTGCATTTTATTGATATTGATATTTTTTCGAAAGGAAAAGGAATTGGAATGATAAACGTCTTATACCAGTATATTGCATTAAAAAGAGATTACTGTTCAACACTTACTAGCTATACTCCTGTTTTGTATGTTCCCTTAGGTATTCTGATCTAGAAATCCAATTCAATATTAGATTTTACTTTCTTTATACGCAGAGATTTCGAAGACAAAAATTAATTGAACAATTATTTTAGACATTGGTGTGTTGTTTCGAAAACAGTATAAGTTGATTCTAATTGCCTCTATCCCATTTTGCGATTTATTTATAGTCTAACCCACGAACAAAGCAACTGATGATTTTACTTTCTCCACCAGGAAGATGGCAAACCTTTACGTCTCACCTAATGAGCTGCAGCACCTCGTCCTCAGGCACGGTGACTACGTTGTACTTCTCCACGAAGATGATGTAGTCACCGGGCCGCAACCCTGCACGATCCGCCGACAGGCCCGCTTCCACTCGTTCCACCCTGCACCAAAGAAAAAAAACACATTAGTGAGATGAAGAGACTAGGATTAGGTTTAGGTTTAGAATAACTACGTTTACTGCCGTTCCTGATTTTAATCTATGGAGAATAAAGATTATAGAACGGCTGGAAAATTGAGGGACACGTAGTTATTATTTTGTGACAAATGAAATAAACACTATAACAATTTGGAAATAGAGCACCTAAAATGCTTCACACAAAAATTCAAATTCCAATTCTGTCGCCATCCTTCTGGCACTTGCTCCGTGTTTCTACGGACGTTCTTTCCTTCTGCGTGCTCCACGCTTGACTTTATTGCATCCTAATTGTTTGACGACATCTGGGGAGATATGAATCAAAAGCAGAAGCAATCCATGTTAAAGATTCTATTATGTTCCTTACTTTTACAACGAAATTTCTTCCAGACATTCCACTTAAATATCACAAAACTCGCTGTATAACATTCTAAACTTGCATAAATAATAATAATAATAATAATAATAATAATAATAATTATTATTATTATTATTATTATTATTATTATTATATGAATTTAGAAAAAAGATCTGTATGAAGAAACCCTCTCTAGAAGCTCTCACAATTTTCTAATGAAATGTTGAATTGCGGATGAGAGAGGTTTCAGTCTAATTAAATAAAAAAAAACGTATCTTCTAAGGTGTAAAGATAAGTTAACTTACAAATATACTATGTTTTATATATTGAAGTAATAAACACGTAAATCACGAGTTAACAGTTAATTATATAAATCTGAAGAACGAATTTTGAAAAGTTAGCTTAGGAGAGAAAGGTTCAAATATCAAACAAGGGGCACAGACTCGACCTTTAGAATTCCAATGAAATCCTTCTAGAAACGCGGACTCTTGTAATGTAGTGGGTTAACGTTGTCATTTGTCTCTACCTAGCAACGGGACATGTTTGAAGATCCTGGATAAACAATCAGAACGCTTGAGGTCGTGGAGACTAGATCGAGGGCTTCTCTGTTCCACAGATTGTGGGTTTACTGCAATAGTGTGCATGATTTGCTATTAGCAGTGATGCATTCTTGTTTGGAGAAGTTGATAGAATGTGATGTAAAGTGTGAAACAGTAAGTCTGAAGTCTTGTGATTAAATTGTTATTTTTGTTGTTAAGCAAACTATCATATCTGACAAAAAGCGGTCGATTGAAAGTCTACGACGTCTCTGACGATTGTGACGTTACTCTTCGAAGATTCCAGTATTCGAATGTGCCATCTTCCGAAGAAGTGCGACTCATAGTGTTTATGCGAGCATGCAGTATGCTAACCAATAATCAAAGAAACTCTTCCACTGGCTCCCTAGAGATAGTCAAACTTTTCAAAAGAAAATTAATTTTTTCCTGCATGGCGATGAATAAATTGAATTAATAACGAAGATAATGTGAAGAGTTATTTAAAACCCGCATTTAACTACAATTCCATCCGTTTCTTTAATTCAATGAATCACAATTTCTTGATTTTTTCTAGAATACATATTTTGCTTAAAAGATTCCTTACTTTTATATTTTAAAAATCATTACATCCACATAATTACAAAATTTACACAAGGATATGTTGATATTGGAGTTGTATTAATGCTCCAAATAAAGCAGAATTGAGAATGTAGAGAAAATTTGGCCACATTACCATAATAGGCAGATTAAGTTATAGTATTTTAAGGTAGACATGGGAGCGGAAAAGCCTCTGGCGGAATACATAGTGACCACTTCGAGTGTGGAAATGTGGTTTCGATGAATACGTCCATTGAATGAAGAAATATTGGCCAACAGATAAGTTACCTGATAACCCATCACTAACAAGAAAACGAGAAAGACCAAAAATGAAAACTAAAGACTACATTCAGAGATAGAGAAGAAATAACTAGAAAACGATAATTGGGAAGATAGACAAAAAAGTGGAGTTCGCGATGTGGGAAACAACCTGGAGCTGTTATACTACTGACTGTCATAATGAAGAGACCATTTTACTTAACAATGGCGGCTTCAATTTGTCACACTTTTCCTCTACAGTACGTTACGACTAAAGACCGAATCTGCCTAATTCTCAATTAGCAGGTTAATGTTCGCATAATCTAAATGGGTGGGTAAAGCAGAAATATGAACAGTTTTGTGGCGTAATTTCGTTACTTGCGTAACAACGTTCCAAGCTCTTTGGACAGTGAGCGTGGAGCTATTCCTCTTTAAATTAGTCACACACACAAGTCAAATTGTACGTCATTGCATTTTATCCACATCGGACAGGGGCTCAGGTCCGTTAGTATCAGCGATTTCCTCACCGTCACCCATCCAGGGTATCTCGAACCACTTAACTTCCATGACTCCACGAAGATCTGAAGGATATTACGGACTTACTTCTGGAAAAGTTGACATTAGCTAACATAAGGTAGCTAGGGCAAGTACGGTGATGAGGATTAGCAGATATATGAGGAAAAGGGATATAATACTGGAAGGACGTTTCGAGACTACAATATGTGTAGTTTCAAGTTCTATTGTGCCAATCGTAAATTTCTATTCACACAACACTCTCAAACCTAACATCCCTATATCCCTCAGTTGACGCTTCGCTACGCTGTTCCGAATTGGCGATACAACTCCTGCCTTAAGCCTACACTACTTGCTTAAAACAAAATTGGGCCTGTGCAACGTGTAATTTTCTGCGTAATGCATGCCAAAATACTTCTGAAATACACACAGGCACTTCTCAATTTCCCGCCAATCACCTTCCTTTAGCCAGCGCCCTGTGTCTGACTGTGGCCCTTTAACGGAAGTCCAAAATGATGTTCTTCAGTCTCTACACCACCTGGCTAATGTGTGAATTAAGAGTGAAGATTGTTAATGAAATAATCTCAGAATCATGTAGCTCTATTGTGAGCCTTGAAATTAATGACCTATCCTCCATCTTGGAGAGGCCTTTGCCCTGGGATTCTGCAGACTATAATCACTTTGTTTGTTTGTTTGTTTGTTTGTTTGGTTGGTTGGTTGGTTGATTGATTGATTGATTGATTACTAGAGATACCGTATGCGAGGTCTGCTAAGGTTATTAGTCCCGTACCTCATTATTATAGTGTTTTTTTGCTCGGGAGGCATCGGTGATCCTTCCCCTCTGGATGGCGAGATTAGGCGCCGAACTGTCGTCGGCTAGCGGGGTTTTCCCCAACCCGGTATCACCCACCAGCGGGGCACCGCCCCAGTCGGGACAAGCTCTTAAGCTCACGATCAATCTCCCGGTGTATGAGGTAGTGTAGCGCATGCTAATTTAAATGTGTACAAGGGATAGGATAGGACAAAGAATGGGTCAAGGCGGTCCGTGGCCAGTTTGTTAGGGTTCTGCTCCGTCATTCGCGTAGTGTTGGATTAGAGAAACCACGCAGAACTATAGACCCTTCCGGTCAGAGGTGCGGCAGAATCATCGGTTAAGAGGCCTTTGCCCTGAACGGGGTTCCACTGGCTTTGCTGACGCTGCGAGTGCTCACCGAGGGGGCTGCGTCCACGCCACCGAGAAGCCGAAGCCGCCGCCGGCGTGGCGCGTCAGCCTGCGCGTCGTGGTGAAGGGCGTGCGCCCGCCCTTGGTGCTGAAGGCGGGGCCCCCGCCGCGGCCCGGCGGCGCGTCGCCCGGCTCCAGCTCCAGGTGGCGCAGGAAGCTGCTGTCCTCGTTGCTGGCGGCCGCCGCCGGCGCTGCTGCTGCTGCTGCAACACACAAACACAACGCGCGCTCGTCACATACTCCAGATGGGGGCACAAGGGAGGCGAGCGGCTTTCGCTGTGGAACTCCGACTCGTTTTGGGGTCGGTAGGGCTGCCACAGCGAACTGCACGATCGATCTACTTTTGCAATTAATAATGCTGTATTGGACATTTTTTTTAAAAAAATAAAAATCAATCTTTACAAGTAATTGAAGAAAGTAACGATGATTTTAAACAATCATTAGGCCTTTGAATATCGGCAACAAGTCGCGCAAAGCTAATTCACAAATGCCGATGCGTGACATACGAATATCGAACAGAAGTGACATCGCGATTAAGAGTGTAAGGACATCGTATGAGTGCAATCAACGAGAGAAGCATTTCGTAGAAGCATGAATTTCATAGAAATAGTTCAACCTTCCACATTTTGTCGAAGTATAAGGAAATTGACACATCTAAAAATTCTTAATTTTCTACTTAACAGACGAAATATACTTAGAAAATAGTGTAAAAATTTCATAAAGTTTACATCACAAAACATCCGCTCAGAAAAACTATTCTCCCCCAAAATTACAATATTTTAGACGTGCCACTTTTAATATACATCAACGATATTCTCTTTAAATAGATACAACAGAAATCAACATTTGCCATTTTTTAAATATTTTATGATTGGAACAGTGATGGAAAATTCATCGAATTTTTACAACAAAAAAAAAAATGAATTCGCAATTGCGTTCCTAATTTCAGTCATCCAGTGAAAGATGAAAACCAATATAAAATTAACTAACGTTATGGTAATAACATTAATACACAATCTCTAACAAACTTCAAATATACGTTCACCGGTCAAATATCTATTGTCAGGTTTTTTAATCTGATTTTGCTGAGTTAACTTATTATTTTTTTCTGAAACTTCAAACAATTTCTTTTCACTTAGGCAGAGACTTTTGAATGACAACATTATTTCACGTCAACCAAAAAATATGTTTTCCCAATACTATAAGTAGTAAACTTATAATGTAGTTGATAATAAATAAATTAGAACAACCATCTGACAATAAAATTAAGTATTCGATAGAAAGGGCTCAAGTTCTTACCAGGGGAAGGTCTTGCGACTTTTTTCTTCGTGCAAGTTTTCCGTCGCTCCATCGCTAAAAGACAAATAGAAAAGATGCATTAGTAATAAGCACAGACACTACAGAAACTATGAGAAGAGAGGTCAACTGTAACGTTACATACAAGTTCGCATCCAAGTTTGTCCCAACTAACTTTTAAAGTTAAAAAATATAGAGAAGAACGTGCATTGGTTGTTTTTCTTTTTATAATACGTACGTCTTCGACAAGAAGTTGTTTATCCGAAACTTCTGACTTCCGGAACAAGTGTACTAAATTAAAGGGGCGTGTACAAAATGTCACAAGTTAACTTTTTTTGACTACTTTTCGTGGGAGAAACGTTCTGTATTTCTTGTTCATCTCTGTTAAATCGCAACAGACGGAGGTGTAAAAATTTGCAGAGTTCATTACAAGGGCGAAGTTTATTAAGCAAAAACAAATTTGGAAGAACATGATTGAAAGCAATAGTCGTGATACCAATACGGTTGGAAGAAATGGCTGTTATATCATTTTGAACACTGCCACTAACTGCCATACAGAAGAGTGTTTAACAGCACGATTGTGAGACTATTGTCATCAGTCATCACTGACTTTGTCTACAGGAGTTTTCATAAAAAAGGCACTAAATCGTCAATAAGAGTTTTTACGCCAACGTTGCGAATGGAAACAATTAAATGCAAATATCTGACGCCAAAACTCAGCTATTACGAAACGAACAATTTGAGATCAACTCTATCTTAACAGAAAATATTCGGCGGAACTATTTACAGTATGTATTACGTACAGTGTCTGCATATTGTCCCCAGTACAAATCCCTTTATCCACCATTCCGCTTCTAAATAATTTTGCTTGACAGTGGTGATTCGAATCTGTTCGGTTTTCTAAGTTTGTTTTTTGTTGGAAATAATTTAATTATTGTGCGGTTGGAGTAAAAAATACATATAAGAACTAAATTACAAGAAAATTGCTAAAAAAACTGTTTCCATTTCCGTTTTGAAATATTATGTTGCAGTTTCTGAGTAATAATTTGAAGTATTTGTCTATTACGATTTGGTAGCCCTGTTACAAACATTCTTATGCAAGTAAGATAGACACATATGTGAGGGTGGGCAAGAATGTTTTTAATAACATTATTCTTTGTTATTTAGTACAATATAGTAAATAAAACAAATAAATCGCACCGTTTTCTCAATTAACAATCCCAAATAACATTCCTGCATCAAATACTTGTAAATTATTGTGTAAAAAGTTTGGGGTCGAAAACGACCCCAAACAGGATCCACGTAAGTATGAGCAACAAGGGAGTAGGTACCATCTGGAGAGAAGCAAAGGCTGAAGCGGAAGTCACGCCGAGAGTGGGGTGGGG